AACCCTAAACCCCTAAACCCCTAAACCCTAAACCCTAAACCCTAAACCCCTAAATCCTAAACCCTAAACCCTTAACCCTACACCCTAACCCCCTAAACCCTAAACCCTAAACCAACCCCAAACCCTAAACCCTAAACTCTAACCCCTAAGCCCTAAACCCCTAACGAGCCCCTAAGCCTAAACCCCTGAACTTGTTAAGCCTGTAAGCCCTTAGAGCCCTAAAGCCCTACACCCCTAAACCCCTAACCGGTATAGAAACCATATCGAACCCTGATAGAAGGAACCTTTACATGACAACCCTAAACCCTAAACCCCAAACCCTAAACCCTAAGCCCTAAACCCTAAACCCCAAAGCCCTACAAAACCCGAAGAAGAGGTACTATCGCCAGATCCCCACACCGAACTTGATGCATCCTGGCAATCCGAAGATGGGGAGGGTTTTAGAGCTTTAGGGGTTTATTGTTCAGAGTTTAGGGGTCTGGGTTTTGGGGGTTAGGGGTTTAGGATGGGGTTTTCAAAGGGGTGCGGGGGCGGAGTTTGACCAAGTAAGTTGGTTATAATCTGGGTTGTAGGGGCCCTAACTGGATATTATCCCAATTACAACCCCACCCATATCCGACTTACGGAGGGGGCTTCAGGTTGTGAACCTGAGGGTTTAGGGTTTAGGGTTTAGGGTTTAGGGTTTAGGGTTTAGGGTTTAGGGTTTAGGAGTGTAGGTTTCAGTTTGGTGGGTTTAGGGTTTAAGGTTCGGCAGAGGTTTGCACTGTAAACCGTGAGCCCTCAACCTTAAACACCCGCTACCTCGCGCCCAAGCTTCAGGCTTAAAGGCAAGAACGGCACAGTGAACCCATGAACCCAGGATGCCGCGAAACCCTGAACCCTAGATCCGGCCACACAGTCTTGAGTTCTAATCCCCGAAGGCATGTCTTGTTCGATGTAGTCTCAACGTAAGCCTTTGGTTGATAAGATGTGGGTTTTGAAGATTCGGTATTTTGAGGGCTGAGTAGGTAACATGTAATCCTTTGGGGTTTATATAATCCTACTATAGTTTAAGAGGTTATTTTTGGGGGCTAGGGTACTCAGCCCCTAAGTTATTAAGGGTGCACTTATGGTCCCTATACTTTAGTATGTGATATCTCCCCAACACTCTTCTGACTGGTAAGGCCCCAATGGTATCCTTCTTCTCTACCTTCAATCGTAGAGCGATCCTAAATAGAACATGAAAACATCTTAATTGAGTATTTTTTGGAGTGTCTCGGGGTGTTGAGGTGCAACGTTTTGGGGACAGTCTTGACAGCTCATCGTGCTCCCGCCAAATACGACTCATCGTATTTGATGAAGGCGATATGAGCAAATATCATGAAGCCTGAATCATACAGTACCTTGATCCTAAACCCTTTTCCATCAGAACCCTTGAAGGAACATGTATAGTTCCCCCTTCCAGGAACCACCAAACAGCATCCTGACCTCATAATACCCTGAACCCAAAGCCCCAAACCCTGACTCCTGAACCCTAAACCCTGAACCCTCACACCAGATTGGACTGTCGGGTTCTGCACCACGCGTCTTTTCGGCATGACGCACAAGGTGCAGCAAATGGACGAAAGTGTCCGAAAGTTCACTCACAAGCGCTCCGACCTGCACGCGACACTGGAGCACAGGTCAGGGGCGAGGTGTTCCCACTGGGCCCTCCTGACCAAACAATGTCTATGCCCGGAACCAAAAGCCACACTTTCGCCTGCTGGATGACACCAGCGGCTCCACCGAGGAAAGGCAGAGAGGCGAGCTTCTGGGTAGGCAGAACCAGCTTAGACTTCCGAAAATGGTGTCAGCACGTCGGAGAACAAAACTACACCTTTCGGGTCGCGAAGGCCCCGTTGGCTTGCAATCCCCTAAGTCCATATCAGCCCTGAATCCCCGAGCCCTTTTCCTTAAAGCCCTAAAACCCAACCCTAAGCCCTGAACCCCTATGTCCGGCAGCTTCGACAGCAGGTGATCGGCAGGGCTACGACTAGGAGATCCCAGCTAAGGTGCCCAAACCCCTAAACCCTAAACCCAAACCCCCTAAACCCAAAATCCCTAAACCCCTAAACCCCTAAATCCTAAACCCCAAACCCCAAGAACAGAACCGAGGAGGGTTTACGGTTCAGGGCATGGTCACAAGTTTACCTTGAACCACCCAAAGCCTACTTTTTAGTAGGGTCTCTAGAAATTCGGTATCAGGATTTATAAGAAGAACCTGCAACAAGAGGTAGGTTCCGGTTTTTTTACGGTAGAATTCAGGGCCCAAGTCAAAAATCATCACAGAATGGAAGGCCCCCAAAAACTCAGCCCTGAAGCTTTAAGCTCACAACCCTAGTTTAATGCACCAGAACCTACTGCTTTGTAGACTCCCTATGAACTCCATATTCGGTTTCATTATAAGAACCTACGACACAAAAACTAGGTTTTTTCAGGTTACGGTAAACCTTAGGGCTCAGTAGGTAACTTTTAACCTTTTAGGGTACTCAGCCCCTGGGAGGTCACCCTACATGAGCTCATACCCCCAAGCCCCCAGATCAGAACTCCAAGCCTGGAACGCTAGGCCCAAACCCTCCATCCTGAGCTTCATGATTTTCAGGCTTTAGGGTTTTGGGTTTAGGGTAATATGGGGTGTTCAGGGTTTAGGATTTAGGCTATAGGGTTTACCCCCATAACTTAATAGCTCCACAAGCTTTAGCCAGAAGCCGCCCTTTCTCCTAAACTCCTTTTGAACCCTTTCCCCTGCAACCTAAGCCCTGAACCCTACACTTGTGAAGCCTTTTTCAAACGCCTTGATAAATCTCTTCGAATCTTCGAACACCCTTCAAAGAAACCCTGTTTTTACACTATAGGGTTAGATCTCTGAATTAGGGTCCTTTTTCGGGTCCTTTTATGAGGGTGCCGTACTAGATTGGGGACCTAAAGAAGGACCCTAATTGAGAGAGCTACCCATATGGGTAGTTGTCAAAATTATGGTCCCTTTTGGGGTACCCTAAATACAAGGTGCTTTTATTTAGGGTACCCCAAAAGGGACCATAATTTTGACAACCACCCATATACAGTATATACAGCTAGAGGGTTCGTGGGGGAGTCTGCCCTGCATTCTCCAGGTATCAGACGCTGCTTGCTTGCACATCGGAGCCCTGAAACCCTGAAACCCTGAAACCTAAACCCTAAACTGCCCTAAACCCTAAACCCTAAACCCTAAAAGCTGAACCCAACCGCATCGGGTTCGGGGTGAAGGCGGGTAGGATTTCTGGTTGAGGGATTTCGGCTCAAGGCGTTTAAGGTTTCGTGCTTAGGGATTTAGGGTTTTAGGGTTTCGGGTTTAGAGATTCAGGGTCAACGCGTTTAGGGGTCTAGGCGTTTACGGCTAGGGTTTCGGATTTAAGGGTTTGGGGTTTGCTTGGGGTATAGTTTAGCGTGAAGGTGTTTGGGGTTAGGCTGTATCGGATCAGCGGATCTAAAAAAGTCCTAGACGACAGCCTTCGAAAGGTATCCTGTCATGTGATGCTTATTGTATGGGATACAACAGCTACTACGGTTTAGGGGCACTTATTATACCCATACTACAATATCCCCCCCAAGCCTTTTTTGATCGAATACGCTCCTTGTAGTTTTGAATTGTTGGATCCTGGCAGGATTCTGGGTAAGCTCAGGTGTCACCAAGCCCAAAATCCTACGGTTTAGGGTTTAGGATTCTCAAAGTCACATGCGAAGCCTCGGTCCTCATGTGCACGCCCAAGTAAGCCTCCCAAAACTTTTAAGTGCAGGTAGGAGCCAGAACAAATCGTAGTACCGTCTGGCTTCCCTAAATTCTGTTATGCCGTGAAGGTCTCTTTTCCCCAACGGTTCCGTAAACTAGAAGATGGGCAGAGCGTATCGGTCGGAGGTTTGCGCTCTTCGGTGTCAACAGCCTCAACTGAGGGTGTTAGCTTAACCTGAATAACCTATCGATTTTTACAGTTCCTTATTATGCCGAGCTGGGTTGTTTCTCCGTTTCGCTTAGTGGATGAGGGGGTGGAGAGAGTGGAGATCTGCCAGTTGGAAGGATGCCAGTGGCTTTGCACAGATGCCATCGACATGGACTCGTCGATCCGCTCGATGGTGCACCTACAGGAGGCGAAGCAGTTCGTCGTCCTGCATGACCCCTAAACCCTAAACCCTAAACCCTAAACCTTCACAAACCCAGCAATCCGGAAGGATGGAAGGTCTCTACCGGGAGATGGGGTCCCGAAGACCTTCATCAGTGGAACCCTGCAGGTGGTGCTTGACACGGAGGAGACGTTGTCCGGGGTGGCGGGGGGCGGTTCTCCATTTCAGAGACAGGTATGGTATCCTGGTCCCGACGACAAAAGGGGCGAGACCCGGGACGGCTATGTTTGCAAACGCTGCAAAAGGTTCTAGCACCGCTTGCTCTCCATCGCGCGCAGTAGTGGCACCCGAGCCACTTGTACTGGAAGCGAAACATTCGCATGCGGTAGGGTGCTGATCCCTAAGCCCTCGATTTGTTGAAGTTGTTAGCTTTTTCGTGTGTCTTGTCTTTTCAATTCAAGTTAACATTTAGGGTTTAGGGTTCTTGAGACCCTGAACCCTCAACCCTAATCCACGTAAGCCGGCCCTCAACCGTAAAACCAACCATCAAAATGCGCTGTCTTCAACATTAGGCTAGGCGAAATCCCGGCATCTTGGTTTCTTTGCAATCCTTGGAGCTCCGAAGCTTCATTTAGGGCCTTTAGGGGTTTAGGGTGTAGGGTTTAGGGTTTGGGTTTTAGTGGTTATAGGCGTGTGCAGGGCTTAAAGACAACATGGACCATAGCCTACATGCTAAGCCCCAACTCCTAAACCCAAACCCCCCAACCCTGAACCTTAAACCCTGAAACCCCAAACTCTAAACATCAGCTGAAGGTCCAACGGTGCTTTCGGGGCTGGCGGCCGGATACCACCAGAGCCTCAGAAGGGACGAGAGCTTTGGATGATGGGCCGAGGCCCTACCTGTCCTCTTAGGGTTTAGGGTTTAGGGTAAAGGAACCATAGATAGAAACCGTAACAAGCAACCCTAAAGGTACGTTTTTCGGCTGCAGGCACGCCCTAAACCTTAGCCCGATCTTGGGTTTAGAGGCCCTAAACCCTAAACCTTGGTTGGGTTTAGGGTTTAGGGTCTTAGGGGTTTAGGTTCAGACGGTCTGAGGGTTTAGGGGTTTAGGGCTGGGGGGGGCTGTAGCGAGATAGAACAAGGTTGTGCGCAAGAGTTGTGAGCAGATCGTGGATCTAGTCAGATCCCAGCGTATCTTCACCATTAGGGTTCAGAAGCTGTCGGACCACGAACACCTGTCTCCTTCGCGTCAATGCATGTGCGTCTTCTTCTGGTTTCACTCCAAAGCATTACAAGGGGCCCGAGCAGGGAGGCATGCGACACACTTGTCTTGTGCTGGATCAGGTCACCATAGTTTGATGAGTGCAGCGTCTTGCAGGGAAGCTGGGTGACAACATACCACGTCACTGCAGTCTCCCTTTTGCAGTAGGAACGATGTCACCAACAGCAGTAGCAGTAGCTAACGACAGCGCAGCACCAGCAGCAGTAGGAAGCTAAACCCAAAGGGTCCAAGTAGTAATATGGTAGCTACTTTGTAGGTATTTGGGCCCCCAAAGTATATACTATACTATAACTTGGACCCTTTGGGAAATCCGGTCCGAAAGCCAGTGCTCCATTGCGTGGCGCAGGCGGTGGCCAACAGTCCTCCTTTGATAGCTGCCTGGTCTACAAAGGCCGGGGGGTCTGGGGCCGGTTTAGGGTTTAGGGAGCCACGGTTTAGGGTTTAGGGTTTAGGGTTTAGGGTTTAGGGTTTAGGGTTTAGGGTTTAGGGTTTAGGTGGGGGTCTGGGGTTTGGGATCCAAAGCCAATCCCAGCAGTTCGCCTTCATGTCTTAACTTCGAACTCTTAGTTTTAGAGCACGGCCACCAGCCTGAACTCCAGATCGGTGCCTCCCAAGCCGAAACAGCACTCAATCCCACGTGAAGCAGTCCCCTGCTTCATAGATACTTCAGGGGTACCCTGAACCCTAAACCCCAAACCCTGAACTCTCAACTGTGGGGGTTCAGGGTTTAGGGCGTTTATAAGCCGTGGCTCGGACGTTCAAGCTCAGTCTCTTAGTCAGGAACACCGTAAAATCCTAAACCCTGAACCCCCAAACCGTAAGCCGCTATCCGAAGCACTCGGCGACTTCTACGGGCACTGTGGCTTCATGATTTCTGATACCCTTACTACTGTTGATGCCCAAAATCCTGCATGACTTACATCATCGCTCATATCTCATGTCGCATTGTCCACTTCCCCGCAACCCCTCAATTTCAATGTTGCATCTCCATGGGGTCTTGCAGGATTTAGGGCATTCGCGCACGGCCTTTTTCCAGCCCCTGCATGAGAACAGTTTTAAAATTAGGGGTAGCAGGGGAATCGTGGCGATGCTTAAAGTCATGCAGGATTTAGGGCGGCATCAACCGCCCAAAAAGACTACTTTCCTCTACTTTTCACGATGCACTGCCTCTGAAGCATGTGTCTCGGTCTAGTGAACTGGTGCGTGCAGCTTTAATGTGCTTTGCACGCATCGTAAGTAATTATGTGCGAGTGCAACCACCGTTGATTATACATACTGTGTGCAGGGTCCCTAACTGACTCAAGTACATTAGAGTGCTTTGTCGCGGGAGTGCTGAAAGATTCATGACGTGCACGTGAATCAGTGGTTGCGATCCTACGGCGCACTGCATTCTTTAGTCGCGAAGCTCCGAAACTTCTCGCCTCCGTCTAGCGGTGTCGGGCTGTGGTGTGTGCCTTGTCGCTCGCGAAGCTCGGGTAGCTTCGGGCTCCGTGCCGCGGCTTGCCTAGCCTTCGCATATGTGAGACACAAATCCTGGGCTCTGGACGTGCAGGAGCATTTGGGCCCTGCCTATATTTACAAACAAACTCCATCTGCTCATTGGAGTTTCGTGTGTGAAATTCCTATTTACAGCCTCATCCAGGAAAATTTCGTGTGGGAAATCCCTATTTACAAACTCATCCAGGAGCATTTCGTGTGGGAAAGTCCTATTTACAACCTCAATGGCTGCATTTCCCTATTTACAAACTATTTACAAACCTGTTTACAAACTTCACTCTAAAGGGGAAAATCGGGTCGCTGGCGCGGGCCTTAAAAAGTCCTGACTGTCAGAGAAGGATTTCTGACCACGGATCGCACGCCTGAAAAATGCTTTTTCCCCTTAGAGTGAGGTTTGTAAATAGGTTTGTAAATAGTTTGTAAATAGGGAAAATGCAGCCATAGAGTTTGTAAATAGGAATTTCCCACACGAAATGCTTCTGCATGAGTTTGTAAATAGGGATTTCCTACACAAAACGCTCCTCCATGGCTCGACATGGGGTTTGAAAATAGAATTTCCCACACAAAACTCGACATGGGGTTGGTAAATAGGCATTTCCCACAGAATCGTAGCCCAAATGAACTTTAGATGGATGTCCACGACCTCAATACTCTACCCAGCAGGTCAATGGTATTGCTGAGCAGTAAGATGCAAGATGAGAGCTGAGAGTATGGACTCTTCGGATAAATATTGCACCAAGATGATACCTTGCAGTGTGAAGCTTCTGGCTATTTTTCACTGCCGCAACACAAACTCTGCACCCTATGCATCCAGAAAAGTACTACTAGCACTTTTCCCCCTTCCATCGCAGTGTTGCTGTTATGGTTCAGGTGCTCTTTAGATACCCCTTCGTTCACTGCCAAGATTGTCTAAGGCTAAGGCTGACTCTCCATCGTGTTGCCAGCCTGGGAAAACAAGTTGGACTTCTCCAAACGATCCCAGAATGATAATAGGTTCAGACAGGGGATCCTAGGTAGGATATCGACTCCACTTGACGTGCTCCCTGTGTTTTCGACAAAGGAGCCAGGAAGAAGTATGATTGTAAGCATGCATATGCAGTCTGCAGACCTGTCCGCAGGATCGAAGGTGCCATGGTGTGACCAGAGCCGCTGAGCAGAAAGCTTCTCGGAGAGATCCTGTGTTCAAAGATCAGGCGTCTGCCGCATGATGCATTGCCTCTCGGCCGAATCGTGCACGAGACGGTTTAGGTAGGTTTTAGGGTTGAAAGAATCAAGAACTGGCAGGCTTGGGAACGAGACGAAGATGCCAAAATCATCCACCTATCTGTCATCAACTGGTGTTCCGAATCATTCCCACCCCCCCGCCAAAAAAAAACAAAAATCGAGCAACGTATATCATGATTCCCCGAAGCCCTTAAGCTCTCATTGCATCCAAACTCGGGATTCTGCTTCTCGAACGCACAGCTCTCGTCATTTCCCGAGGAAGGTGCGAATCTTGCACGCCCGCCGCAAGTGCCTTAAGGGCCAAAGTTTCACAGGCGAAGCTGCGCAATGGATCTACACGATGCTTCTGCGTTGATACAAACAGGACATCCTGCACCCCAAGCCCCAACAGCTCTAAACTCCTGAAAGCTGTTGACATGCTCCATGCTTCGAGGCTGCAAACCTCTACCCCAAAGCCTGCCTGAAGTTCTGGGTCAAGGGGGCCTCTTAAGGCTTCCGCTCTAGAGGTTAAGGGCAGTTTACTGGTGTAAGATTTGATAAGAGCAATATAGGGGCCTAAATAATTTCCTCTCTATTGTGGGGATTTCTAATTATAGCGTAATATATCCGAAAACCCTATTCTAAGTATTCAGGCCCCTATATCAGGGCGGTTGGGTTCAGATTTTGGGAGGTCAGTAAATGTCCATCACTGCTGCAGGACCCGAGATAAAACTCTACAGAACATTCGCATCGAACCAAAAAGACCCCCCCAAAGGTCGTTCTCTAAAATTTGGTTTCCATTTGGGGTCCATTTTGTAAGAGTGCCCTACTAATTATTTTGGGGGACCCAGCAAAAAAAACCCAATTCCTGAGAACTACCCATAAACAAAGACTTCAGAATTCAGAACCCCATTGACTCCTATGTCTATGGGTGGTTGTTTAAGCTTTGGTCCCAGTTTGGGGCACTTGTTTGTAAGGGTGCCGTGCTCTTTTGGGGGGGAACCTTACAAAAAGATCCTAATTTAGGCAACTACCCATATGCTCTTTCCTCAGACGCTTTCGCAAACCCAAGTGCCACCTAAACCCGAAACCTTAAACCCTAAACCCCCAAACCCCAAACCCTAAACCCTAAACCCCTAAACTTTAAACCCGCATCTTTGAAACGCCCGGTCAGCCTTCTTGGTTCCAGCGGTACGTGCTCTGGTCGAGCCATGCGGCCCGGATAAACCTTGCGCCATGCATCCTGCTGCGTTTAAGGGGGTATCTTCCACCTAGACCCCTAAACCCTTACTTAAAACGCAAGCCCTGAGCCCTAAACCCTGACTTAAAAGTAAGCCTTACGCAAACCCTTACTTAAAAGTAAGCCCAAACCCTTACTCAAAAGTCAGCCCTAAACCCTAAACCCTTACTTAATCGTAAGCCCTAAGCCCAAACCCTTACTCAAAAGTAAGCCCTTAACTTTAACCCTAAACCCGAAGCCCTAAACTTTGGCCCTAGGCCCTAAGCCCTAAACCCTAAACCCTGAATCAAAGGTAAGCCCTTAACTTTGGCCCTAAACCCTAAGCCCTAA